AACATGTTTATTAGTACAAGCAATCTGTGGTTTCATACAACAGCAAATCTCAGCGGAACAAAATATGAGAATATGCTTCAACTAAAAAATGTCAAAAGGCATTTCCACTGATTGCGAAATTATGTTGTATAGAAATCTATACAAATATATAACCCAAAATAACCCAAACATTTCACTGGATTATGGTCTGGTTTGCCTGTTTCTAGTGCTCTTCAATACAGATACTTCATGTTTATTTTGTAAGTCTTAGTACCTTTGAAAAAACAAATGTAGTCAAATAGATGATAAAGCAAGCTTTGCTAAAGGATGGGACCGACTTAAATTGACAAATCCCTACATCAGTGACATGTTAACCAGAATGGAGGCATTTGTAAAAAAAAGAAAAAAAAAGTGAATGTACATTGCTATCTGAATATGATTACTTTCTGTTCCCAAAAAACAAGATGGTACCTGCCAAAATGCCAAACCCAATGCTGCAAAAGGTTCACAAACCAATTTGTCATGTAGTTGTAGCTACCCTCTCTCTCTCTCTCTCTCTCTCTCTCTCTCTCTCTCGCTCTCTCTCTCTCTCTCTCTCTCTCTCTCTATATATATATATTGAGTAGTGTTAATGCCTAAATTATGTCCAATTTTTTTTATTTTTTTGTTGGGGGGGGAGAGAAGGAATATGACCCTTTCTGTTGAAGGACAGTTCATTTTTCCTACCATCAAACTCCATATGTAATTGGTCCACTTGCCACTTTATATAAGTTGAATATAAGTGTTAAATTATGTTTTCCTTCATTGCCTTGTTGACACAATTGCATTGCCCGCTTAGTACACTCTTAATGAACCTTCCTAGAAGGTTTCTTTTGCACTCCAGGCGAGCCAATGATCAAAGACTTTCTGGCCTTGCCGAGTGTATTCCTTACGTCTGTGATTAAGTGTTTTGGGTACACTTTGCTGTATCTCAGCTCCCTCAGCCCCCCTCTCTGTTGAGGATGAAATAAGAATAATCTGAAAAAGGAACGCCATGCAAATAGGGGCATTGTTTCAATGTGAAACCCTCAAGTCAGCTTGGGTATGCTAGCAAAAGGAGACGGAAGGAGAGGAAAGAAAAGAAGGGAGAAGTGATGGACGGCATAGAAGAAAGTATAAATGGGAAACAAATGACAAGAGGTGGAATTGAGGGGCTCTGAATCCTGCTCTCACCTTTCCTTGAACCCCGTCCTTCCACCTTCAGGCCCCTTTATTCAATGAGCCTTGTGGCTTTTTTCCAGCGCTAGTCACCCAACCATAATGATCCATCATTGATCCATGACAGAGGGACTTCTCTCACCACTTACAGCCACTTATGTGTGTGGGTCTTCTTGCCAAATTGCACGGATGTCGTCAGGCCTGGTCAGGTCCAGGCTTGTCCAGGCTTACATTCATCATCATTGGATTGTTGTTGATGGTCAAACACTGGACGATTTGTCCACACAAAAGTAGAACGGTAGGGATCCACAAAACAGTGGAACAAAACCCTGAAGCTGTTAGCATTAAAATAAGGGAATTGATTTTGTTTTTCACACTAATGTATTGTATTATTATCTTAAATGACTTTGTTCGATTCGGGTATTATTCTCCGACTTCCTCATATACTATAACACCATATTGTAATTTTAAAATCAGTTCAGGAACGAACTTTGAGCTCTATTTTCTGTTAAAGTTAAATTGAACCAAGAAAGTCAAGTGAAGGACTTTTTTAAAAAACCTCTACTTATTTGAAAATGGCAGTGTTGGCATGGGAAGAGAAGCTTGTGTTGTTGATTTCAAAGCCACCTTGGGTCAGGTAAATCAATATAAACATCCTTAATAGACTGTCATTTTAGCAAAGCTGTCCAATGATGTTAGATCGGATAACCAACTGGGATAAATTCTTCACGGCCATCATCATTACCATTATCATAATGATACCCTCCATCACTTTTCTATTACACCTTCTTCCCATCACTATCAATTATCCCTGAAACCACAAATCTCCAAGACGTATTGGAAAACCAGGCCCCTCAGTGGAGCGTTTTCCCGACAGAGATTGAGGTCTAACTGTGCGTCGGTGGCAGTGGATGTAAAGCAAGAAGAAAAGAATAAAGACAAAAATCAATGCCTTAACTAAAGTAGCAAGTGAATTATTGATGAGGAGTATGTAATGGGATCCCAAGTGTCTATTTCTCCCCCCAACTTGGACTGCTGCTCAGGCTGCCACAGTCGTAGCCAGTGAAGTAGAAACGAGGAAGGTGCCAAACAACCCCCACTTATGTCTCCAGCGGCAAACAGCTGACCTGAATTATCTGGTGCTGTTTGGCTGACACTACCAGCTGTGAGGCTCACACACTGTTACAGTTAGAAATCATTTCTAGGAAGCCTCATGTGCCTGGATGCGTTTACTACAGTCAACCTAGATATTCAAGTACAAGGACTGCCCTTTTAGAAAAATGTAGTTTAGATAAAATGGAATGTACCACAACAACACAACCCAGGCTGTAGCCTAACCTTATGCTCTGCAGAGTAAACCTTTCTCCATTTATTTATGCTATCGCAAATTTACCCAACGTAACTTTCATGCCTTAACCACCTCTATCAATTTACATAGGCAGTAAGAGTTCACATCTTTATTTGTTTTTTTGTTATCTTTGGTATGGACACAAAAATGCCTCTTCATCTTAATTCCAAGGTGCTTCAGTGTCACCATAAACCTTTCAGACAGCCAATTAGAAAACAAGATCTTGTGGCAAATCAAGCCTGTTGGAGAACAAGGCACAGCTTAACTGATAGTTTTGAATTAAACATCATAACAGATTGAATATTCTTTTTTTTAAATCATTTTCTGTGCAAAGAGACTGAGAGGAATCTAAGGGATTGATAAAATGAGATGAATGCTTTGATTGCAGCCTCAATGGTACAAATCGATTCAGCCATTGAGGAGTCAAAGGTCAGGGGAACTGTGTTGCTCATGCAGACAAAATGTATCTTACTTATCTTTTGTCCTTTTTGTTTGAAGGAGTAAATTATAAGCTGTCAGCTAAAGGTTTGAAATGGCATTTTACACCGAACATTGGGAAAAAACACTGCGTAGTGCTTGTAACCTTTGAAAAGCTCCCTTAATATGCAATATTCACATTTATGCAGTTCTTAGTATTCTATTTATCATCATGTATCTGGATTTATTCAAAGACCAAAGTTGTTTAACATTTTAACCCAGTACACCCAATATGTATTTACATATAAATGCAATCCATCTATTATGCAAAGCTCTTTGAACATCCATTGGAACACTTATGTAACACAGGAATAGTGTAAATGTGTTGCTATTGGGTGAAAGTGTCATATTCATATATAACTTTTGTAGTGGAATTGAATTCAGAATTGTGGAATTAGATAATTGCAGGGCCCCTATGTTTACAGTTCCCATTGGAAAGCAATATAAACTGAGAATGGCGGTTGGGCTAAAACCATTTTTTCTGTTAGTTTGCCCTGAGGTTTTCCTAACATTAATCCTTATTTCCTACATCCTTTTGACGTGGGGAGAAATCAGAGGATGTATTGTTTACCCACATCACCAGATTGAAGTCTTTTTCTGTAGTAAACAGAGAAGGCAGGGATCACTTCTGCTTGGCTGGAGAGGAGGCAGAAATGGGGAATGTGAATGAGAGGGAGCGGCCAGGTGAGACCTGAAAGCTGCCTTTGTGCGGCAGCTGGCAGTAAGAACACTACCCTTCACTGTGAGATGTTCTCCAAGCACACACAGAGACACATACACACATATACTGTACTCATCGGGGAGTTATGGGAGGGTACGTTTTGAAAAAAAATACGAGGCAGAAAAACCGTTGCAAAAATTTGAAATAATAAATAAAAAAAGGCTTCAGGTTCTCTCTCGTGGTTTAACGGCAGATTTTGAGGCATAAATGGGCTCTGTTTGCAATATGTGCATCCAAATGTTGGTCTAAGATGCTCTCTTATTTTCTCCTCCAATGCACATCAACTGTATCTGGCTCAGTTGAACTGGAGCTTGAAGACTGAGATAGTATCTTGTCCTGTCTGCTTCTTCCAAGATTTGACTTACTATCGCAAAAGAATGTTCCAGGAGTCAGCCGCACATCGCAGAACAGATGAGACTGTAAATATCCATCTTTTTCACAGGAATGTAGAAGTAATAGAGGGACGGAGAGGGAAGGCTGCCGTCCTGCAGAGATGGTTCTGATTTGTGGCTAATCAGGGATGGATACCTGTTTCTTAGTGTGCACTGAGTTGAACCTTTCTCATTTTTCTATCTATGAGCTCAAGAATAGGAAGGAGATTGATGTTTTTTTTAAATCCTCTGGCCTGAAAAAGTCATATTCCTCTGAATTCCAGCTCAAGGTGTGAAGCTCTAATGCTCCCTTAATGTTGTGCTGATATCCGGGTTAGCAACTCTCAGAAACGTTTGTGCATTTAGCTGCTTCTGGATTGATGAACAACTGAAAAGACAATAGCCTGTTAAAAGTCAGAGTTCCCAAGCTTTTCAGCTCGCAACCCCTTAGATAAAGGGTGCCAGAGCCTGGGGACCCCCCACTGTTCCTGGATGTGGTTCAGGCATAATAAAATAGCACAAAGCCACACACGATGGTTGTATTACCTTAAAATATGGCTCAATGTCCCTCTGGATTTATTTATATCCATTGATTTTTCTGTTGCTCATCAATCTGAAAACCATAAATAGCTATTTGGCTTCGTCAAATCTTAGATAAGATCTAAACAGGAATCAAGAAAGTTATCTTCATGTACCACCATGGGTGTCAAGAAGAAAAAGGCTAAGAGGCTAAAAGGCTTTCCAGATGAAAATGATGATACCCTTTGGCCCAACAAAAGTGTTCCTTATGGCATCTCTTAAGACAGATTTTTCACAACTAACCCCAGAGTGTTTCTCCTTGCTGGTTGCAGAGCGGCCACTCTGTCTGTGTACTGATCTGTATTCTTGTTTGTTTACCCTTCCCCAGGAGAGGCCCTGCAGACAGCAGTCGCGCCAGGCACCATGAGGCAGCGAGCTTGGCCTGTGAGCGCGGAGAAATCACCCCTCATCACTCTCAACTGGACTGGGCAGGGGAGGAAATGCGTACAGAAGCAACAGCAGCAGAGACAGGCTAATACACTCATCTGAGAGTACAGTGGAGAGCAAATGGGGGAGGCAGGGAGAGATTGAGTGAGGGGAGTGAGTAACTCAGATTTCATCATCCTAAATGGCAAAGTGGACTGGGCTGCACTCAGAGGCAGGGATGTCCTTGTTAACACATTGTCCTCCGTTAGAAGCTCCTTGTTAGAAATCACAAATCAGTCCCCCCTGCCCCTGTGAGGCTATCGTGCTGAGGGGCTGAGGAGAGGAAAGAGAGAGAGGACGAGAGAGAGAGAGAGAGAGAGAGAGAGACAGAGCAGAAAAAAGAGACTGTGACAGGCCCCCATGCAGGCGCGTAAGAAGTATGTTCTGCTGGGCTTGTGTGCGTGCTGCTGGCTGGTCCTCTTTTATTGGGGTGGAGGAGTCCAGCTACGTCTGCTTCGCCTGCTGACACGGCACCGAGGGGAAGTGGTTCGCCCCTGGCCCAACTGGACTGACAAGGCATTCCTGCCCCGCTATGCCCACCTGGATGAGCTCCAGACGGACCCAGGGACAGCCGAGTCGCCCCGCCAGCGCCGCCAGGCATGGCCTGCTATTTACAAGGACAGTCGCTGCCGCATGGAGACCTGCTTTGACTTCTCGCGGTGTCGCCGCAGAGGAAGGGAAGGGTTCAGGGTGTATATTTATCCGTCCGAGAAAAACGACCGCGTGTCGGAAAGCTACAGGAAGATCCTGTCGTCGATAGGCGAGTCGCGTTACTTCACATCGGACCCTCGAGAAGCGTGTCTCTTTGTGCTCGGGATAGACACCTTAGATCGGGACCAGCTGTCAGGACAGTTTGTGCCCAATGTGGACGAGCGCATCCGTGGTTACCCGCTGTGGAATGACGGGCGGAACCACCTCATTTTCAATCTGTACTCGGGCACCTGGCCCAACTACACAGAGGACCTGGGCTTCAACATCGGCCAGGCCATCCTAGCCAAAGCCAGCCTCAACACGGAACATTTTAGGCCAGGCTTTGACGTCTCCATCCCGCTGTTCTCAAAGGACCATCCCCAAAAGGGTGGAGAACGGGGCTGGCTGGTGAGGAACACCATACCACCACGGAGAAAGTACCTGCTGATGTTCAAGGGAAAGCGGTATCTCACAGGCATTGGTTCAGACACGAGAAACGCTCTCCATCACATCCACAACGGAAAGGACATTGTGTCGCTTACAACATGCCGACATGGGAAGGACTGGGAGAAGCATAAAGACGCCCGCTGCGACCATGACAACCTGGAATATGAAAGGTAAGACTTGGGTCACACCGCCGGCGGGGAGGGCAGCATTGAGGTGATGTTGAAACGAGAAGCAAGGTGTGAGCCTATACAGTGACAAAATGTCAAGCAATCTTTTTGATTTGGGGAATACACTGCGGTGTTGCTCCATCCACGGCTTATTTGAACTTAACACGCTGTTTTATTGGTCTTTTAGACGTCTCTGTTTTTCGACAAGCAGTGTCAGTGGTAGTGCTTTAGGTCCCACTGGTTATTTTTGTCTCTCTTTCATGGCTGCACAGTTCTTGACAGTCGAGGTTCATGATGTTTGGCAGTCGCGTTGGAGATCAAAGATTTTAATCACAGCTGTAAGTCTCTGAAAAGCAGTTTTCTTGTTCTTGTATTTGCAACGAGTTGCTGCAGCTGAACAAGGGATGTAATGTGGCCGGCTTGTAAGAACTGACCTTGACCTTTTCTATTATTCAAAGCATGAATTAATATAGCAATAGGTGCTTGTCAAAATGTGTGGAAAAACAAGTACCTACACAGTTAGATCCATTTTGTGTCCCAGTGTTTACGAGTGCAACACAAAGAAAAAAAGCTACAGCTAATTAATTACAAATGAAACTTCTGTGTGTAACGAGCCATAGCAAAGGTCAACGCCATGAATGGCTTTGTGAAATCTCTGAATACCTCAGGGGGTGAGGCGCGAGTTGCAATATGATTTATTTTTCATATAAGCCTCGTCCTTGCATTGGAGATAAGCTAACCTTTTCCACTTTAACATCAATTATATTTAACATTTCGCTGATTAGATTGTGGGTGGAGTGGGTTTAAAGACATTGGGAAATGAGATTCTGGCAACCTCTGCAATACATACAGCAATGATTCATTATTTCAACTAATTAATTTCAGCATATTACTTTTGCTTGAGTTTGAAAACACACTTATACCGTTAACCACAATACGTTTCTGCTTCAGCTTCATGCTCATGAGTGGTTTTCAAGTATGTAAGGGGCCATTGTTGAGTTGTAATGAAAATCTTTTGGTAGCACTGTCCCATCTACCAATATGCATGTTGCGGCAGCATTTTGGTAAAGTATCCTCTCAGTGTTTGTTTATTCCACCCAACTGGCTTAGGGAAATCAAACAGTGGTTTAAAACTATTCAATAGGAACTTTTGGATTTGAAAAGTTGTGCTTCATTTTCTCTCAGGAGCGTTTTCTATTAAGGGCCCTGAATCAGAGGTTTTAGGTCATTTCTCAAATGTAGAGAAGGATGAATATAAATGACGACTGAAGTTTAATTCCATGCAGAGTTATTACCTCCCATTAGTCCATGCAATGGTATATCCTAATTACAAAGTACTGTATATGTGGGGGAAATATACCAACTTAGAGCACAGGACTCTTCTTCTTCTAACACTTTGCAGTTAAACTCTCTGAAGCTGAAGTGCTGACAGAGCTCCTCATTAGCCATAAAGTCTGTGCCCGTCCATTCATACACAGATAGCAAGAGAAGGATGGTCTGATGGTGCAGAACATTCACAGACAGGAAAAGATGGATTTCAGTGAAACTGGAGTGTAGAAAAAATGAGAATATGGAGTCGGAGCCTCTGGAAACTGTCTAAAGAAGTATGTTAGACTCCTCTGAAGGGTATGACAAACACAATTAGACTGCAAAGCTAAATTTGTAAGACTTGTCATCGCTGTCTTTCTTCCATTACTAGACAATTAGTTAACAAAGATATATTGAATGTTCAGAAGGTTGTTGGAAACGGATCCCTTGTCTGATTAATAATTTGAAAAACAAACAGAATTAACTTGACAGACTTTTTAATGATATTTTTGGGGGGCTTTTTGCTTTTATTTGAGAGGATATGAGAGCTGAAGATAGACAGGAAATGATGGGAGAGAGTCGGCGATGACATGCACGAAACAGCATCATGACTGGCAATCGAACCCATGACCAGTGATCAGATTTAAGTCTTTGTGCATTGGGTGCCTGCTATAACAGCTGAGCTCAAACAGTGCCCTGTGACAGACTTTTTTTCTTTCTTTTTAAAGCCTAAAAATGTTCTTGGTGTCAGAAAAAAACATTGATTTTTCTGTCCAAAACTGGTTCATATAACCTTAACCTTTTCACTGTAGCTATTCTACACTGAAAAGGCGAGATCACATCAGAAAGTCACACAGTGGAATTTCTAGTACCCTAAAGTAGAAGTGGTATTTGGCCAATAAATGCTTTTTGGCTAAAATGATAGACAGCTAGCTAGTACAAGCCAGTGTTAAAAACTGAGCTAGTAAGTAGACCGACCCTGGTTTAGAAACCTTTTAATGGTTGCTAACTGGATACAAGAACACAGTAAAGCCAAGAGTTATGTTATATACATGACAACTGTTTATGGCTGAAATTATAGCAACTCGAATTTATGAGCCAGGCTTGTGCTGATCTCCGAGCTAGCTTGGTAGTTACTTTAAGCTAGCAAGCTGGCTAGCTTTAATGGATAGGATCACAGTCTAGTCGAAATATGTGTCTACAAACGTTTTGCCTTTCTTTCTGAGCAGCTGAAACTCCAGTAGAGTTTGAAGTCATGATTATAGCCAACTTTGCTAATGAAGCTAACATATATATGGATAACTTTAGCTTTAGCTTTAATCTGTGAAGTGAACACTGAGCTGTACAGCCACAGTTCAATAGTATTTTAATTGTCAAGTAATTTGAAGATTAACTTTGAATTCATCATTAGTTGATAATAAGGCTATTGTGAAACTTAAAGTTGTCTAATTTAAACGTTTTCTAATTACCTCTTGAGGATACAGTTGTTCAAGTAAAGAGATTAAGATGGACTAAAATTAATTGAACGTATCATCTGTAATTTTGGAGAGTAAGCTCTGTAAAAAACAGGTAACTGTATCTGAATCCCTGAAGTTCTTTTCTTTTACTGAACACCTTTGCTAGCGTCAGAGAAGCCTGCTAAACGGCAACACTCAAGTTTAAGTCTGAGCCTCCCGGAGGTGGCGGTTATTTTCAGTTGCTATCGAATGAATGCTCAAAGCAAATGTTTTTAAACTGTACAATATGACTTTTCAAGTATCATTCACTCTGGGTTCAGCAGTTAGTAGGCGGTTATGATCCAAAGCACACTGCTAGCTGCTGTAGCTTATGACAGGCTACCTTCAGCTTGTTTACATTGGACCAGGCAGCGACGGGATGGAGCTCCTCAACACTGTATGAATGAGCTCATTTATTCCACACAACCCACCACTCAGACACCCGGGTGGGCAGGGGTGTGCGTGTGGGATGTGGTAGCAGGGAGGGGAGGATAGTGGGGGGGGGGTCCCATGTGGTATTATGTGGTAGATTTGGATAACAGCTCTGAGGGTGCAAGGGTGTGAATGGGGGAGGCAATGTGAGAGACAGCTGCCGATTCGAGGAAAAATCCAGAAAAGGGAAGTTTTTTCTTCTCTTTTGTGTATCTTTTTGTAGAAATGTGAGGTTTGTAGAGAGAAGAGAGAGAGAGGTGTGAAGGAAGGTAGGGTGAGGGGTCTGTCTCTTCTTTTATGGAGAAGAGATGGGGGATTTCACAGGCAAAAGAAAGAGACTAGAGCTCAGATAAACAAAATGCAAGAGGAATGATTGGGCCAGGTAGAGACCCACCCTTGCCCCGTCCATCTGTCTGCTCTTCTGGCACATTCTCCAATCTCTTTGAAGTCTTCCCTTCAATCTTTTCTATCCTTTCCTTTGACACTGCTCTTCAACATTTGCCAAAAAATGCTGCATTTAAAAAAAATACATGGACTAAAAATAATAGTTAATGTCACAAAGAGAGCCTGTGTTTTTTTTTTTTGTATGTGTGTGTGACTTGTCACAAATCTATATGCATGAGATTGTTTCTCTGTGCCACGCACAGTGAGGCTCTTAGAAGGTGACGCCAGGTTAATGAGCGCATGCATCTGGTACACCGGCAGATTAGCCCGGAGGGACCTGGAGAAGACAGAGACCAACAAAGGGCACGAGGAGGAGGGGAAGGGGGATAAGGAAGGAGGACGGAGGGGGACTCAGACGGATCAAAAGATTGTCATGACATGATTTTTCTGTTGAAATAAAACCTGAAAATCCCAACTCCCTTTTTAAAGGAGCAAGACAATTAATAGGGCCCTATGGGGACGGCCTCCAGGAAAAGACAATATGTTTTTCTTTTTGGTTTTCTATATATAGATAAACATATGATGGACTGACAATTTACCCTTATAAAATGTTAGAATTATTTTGACAGCAGCAGCTTGTTATTTTATGCGATCAACCTTTGCAGCACTACAATTCAAAATCATCCTGCAAAAGAACCCATACAGCCAAATACCCAACCATCACAGGAACCAACACCGGAATCTAACACTGATCCCTTTGTTTTATCTAATTATAAAAATGTGTTTTCTCAAGCATCTATTACTGCAATTGGTCTTCAAGGAGGCAACTGGAACCAAAAAGCCCTACAAACTGTGTTTTTGTTCAGACCAATGGGACAAGATTTCACATCACAAGAACAAGTTCTTCTATTCTCAATCATGAGTCATCCTAGTTGACACAGCCTGCACTCTGCTACTGTCAGTCCTCTCACATTCTGCTGAATAAAATCAGTTTCACCACCAAAATTACAGTTCATTTGCCCAAGTCCCTCAAGTAACATATTTTCTCCGTTAAATGTGCTGGAATCTAGCTGTGCAGATAGTTTCTGTTAGCCTGAGATTTCTGACTCCATACAATGAACTGAAAAATAAACATTTATCTTCCAACACTCAGATTTTATTCTAGTCGATAAACAAATATCCGCCCATGAATGCAAAGTCTTTGTGCATTCTGTTTTCCAAATGTCTTTGAATCATGCACATGAGTGTGCTTCTCATATAACTGTCAGTCTGGAAAGTAAAAGTGGCCCAACGCATCACTGCATGAATCCAATATAAAAACCAACTGACAATCTTGTGGCTACTATTTACCTTTTAATCGATCTCTTTTTGCTGAAGCGAGAC